TTAGCCCAGTTCCAAGGTGCTCATAGGGCAAGCTGTTATATGAAGCCAGAGCCCTCTCCTCACCTAGAGTAAAAGCAGACCTGTGGTTCAGACACTGGACTGGGGCTGAAAATCTGGATTCTATTCCTGGCTGTACCGCGGACTCTGTGACCCCCGCCCCGTGCCTCAGTTTCTCATCCGAAAGATGAGGCTAATACTTCCTTTCTGCTGGGAATGGGCGACAGGGGGTGGATCACTTGGTGATTGCCTGTTCTGTTCATTCCCTCTGGGGCACCTGGCATTGGCTGCTGTCGGAAGACAGGATACTGGGCGAGATGGACCTTTGGGCTGACCCAATATGGCTGTTCTTATGTTCTCTGTTTAGATGGAGATGCACTGTCTTTCTGTGCAGCGCCTCGCACCATGGAGACTCTGATCTCAATGCCTCTAGGCACTACTGTAATATCAGTCATGTCACTACAGAACATCAGAAGTTGGGGTTTTGTCAGGTGGTCAGCGGGCTGGAAGAAGCTCACATCCTCCCCAAAGGCCACTTACTTCTAGTCCCATTTCACTACGCTGCAGTGATGTGTTTAATTAATGGCAGGATACAACATAAGTGATCATTTTTCGCTCCCCAGTACTTAACGTACTTAACAGAGAAAGCTCAGAGTGAGGATGATTAATAAGAATACTGAAGATCCATCATCTGCTCAATAAGGCTTTAGTATGATCTGTTAAAGAACTCACACAGCTCATGAACAAAGGCATTTTTACAAGCTGAGAAGCCATCAGCAACGTTAATTATTCTTTAACAGGAAAGAGTCAATTTACTGGTGGGTTAGTAGACACACATGGCATCTTCGCTGATCTCCATCATCATGCTGATTTTGTCTCCCTAGCCTCCTAACCAGCCCCCTGGATTTTATTTTAAATTTTTCTGACACAATGAAGGACAATGCAAGAGAAACGGACTTCTGTGCAGCATTTGACATTCAGCCCAAATCGGATGATCAAAGCAAGCAAGCCATGCATTCCATTAGGATGTTAAAAGAGAGATAACGATATCTCTGCATGATTCTTGCCTTTGCCTTTCAAACGCAGTTGCCAGAAGACAGGGCCTGCTGTTGCACTGACTGGCCTACATTCCCAGCATTAGGTTCAGACCAGAGTCCTAGCCAAAAATAGCAGCCCCCAGAGATTTAGTAGGGGGATTTTTCACAGGGCACCGTGGCTGGAGTAAATCTTCACGATCAGAGGACTCCTGGTGGGGAAAGCAATGCTCCCAAGAAGAGCAGTTGGTGTTTTCATGTAGCAAACATCGTAGGAACAGGCAAAGGGGTCAGACACAGGTGTACAGACATTCTTAGAGACTTCAGTTGCAGGTATTCGTATACATAAATAGCAGGTCATGCCGTAAAGTATGAAGGCTGTGTGTAGAGAAATCCAGTATTAACATAACGAATGGCATAGCCTCCTGCAGGCCCTTGAAGAGTTGTATCTGCACATTAGTGACACCTCCACTGCAAACAGAAATAGCATTTTAAATTCAGTTTCCAGCTCTCCTTGTTATTCAGCATGAGGTCTCAGATGCCCGCAGGAAGAGCTGTTAATGCCTATTAACACAGTGCAGGGTAATGGTGACATATCCCGGTTAAGCAGAGATCCTACCCCCACGGGATATTGGTGCTTATCACGGAGAAGATGCCATTGCAACAATCTAGATTGATACTCCTCAACAAGATCCAACATAATCAATACATCTCCCCCAGTAAGGCACAGGTACCATACATCCCTCTGTCCCCAGACATCCAGGCCTTTACTTATTCACTTCTCTCTCTGTCCATCTCCCTCCTCTCTTCCTCCATCAGGTACCCAGTCAGATAACTCTGAATAGTGCGCGCACACACACACACCACACACACTTCTGTGATTCATAACTACCTGGTCTCTTGAGATAGCATCCACTCCCCTTTGCTTACAAAGGACATTGTGTGCATCCTTCCAGAATGTTAAGTGTGATTTTTTGCTTGGAAGCAACTCTTATCACAGGGAATCTCTACTCATTTCTTAAAGGTTGTTGGTTGGGGGGGGGGGGGGGGGAGGAAGTGTTTGTTTTTTTAAGAAAAATTGAAGTCAACTGTAATATCCCTCCCTCTGACATTCTGCGGCATACACACATCACCCTCTTTTGGTTCTCGGGGACGAGCCTAAGCCCGCACACTTACCAGCGGTCAATTTACCTTCTCACTCCAGTTCAAGTGCAAGATTCAACACAGCAGGAAGAGACAGAACAATCCTCACAACGGGAAAGGCAGATACAGAATGAAGGCTTCAATCCTGCTGTTATACCGTAACTGTTCAGATGGGTGCAAGTGAACCACCAATCTTAGCTCTGGTTCATTAAGTTCTCAGGTTTAGAGGGTGGTAACTTTCCCCAAAGAATCAAGCTAGTGCACTACAATTACCTCTTTACAGTCAATGGACTCAGGATTAAATTCTACCTTTGGAAAAAATCGATTTCACAACTGGGAATGTTTTGTTGTTGCTGCTCTCATCTCCCCAACTGGCTCAATCTTTTTATTCCATACAAGCCTGCGCCTTTAGAAAAGCAAGAGGCGGCAGAGGAAGGCAAAGGCCATATGATTTTGCATTACAAATTATTTCTTTGGATGACGAAGTGACAGTTTGTTATCCCGTGTTCCCCCATGACATTGAACTGACTTTATCAGTATGCTCAAAGCTGAGAAAACTTCCTTTTCAGAACAAAAGAGGAATTCCCCCAGCTGATGCCATATTTACGGCACTAAAACAAATCTCTGCTGTAAGGGGCCGGGTGTGCTTGTTGGAGCTGCACTAGCAGAATAAAATAAGCCACACATCAGACGTAATCATCAGTGCCAGCTAGTACCAAAACAAGAGAGTTCTGGGAAGACTCAGACATTAAACATTAGACATTAAAGAATATAACCCACATGCCTCTTGTTGACATGAACATACAATGCCTGTCTCCTCTTTACAAAACCGTGTTCTACAGGCAGAGATCAAAATTAATTTTAAAGAGACAGTTTAAGGCCTGGTCTACACTACGACTTTAATTCGGATTTAGCTGCGTTAATCCGAATTAATCCTTAACCCGTCCACACAACGGAGCCAGTTACTTCGAATTAAAGGGCGCTTAAAATCGATTTCTGTACTCCACCCCGACGAGCGGAGTAGCACCAAAATCGATTTTGTAAATTCGAATTAGGGGTAGTGTGGCCGCACACCACCGAATTAATGTGGTTAAAATTAATGGGGTAGTGTGGCCGCACACCACCGAATTAATGTGGTTAAAAACCGAATTAATGTGCTTAGTGTGGCCGCGCACAATCGAATTTATACAATCTGTTTCCCAAATTCGAATTATCTAAATTCGAATTAATCTCGTAGTGTAGACGTACCCTAAGTGTCTCCTACTCCAAATGTCATTTAAAAGGACATCAGCCGCTCAAATCTGGACAGCACTGTGAAAAAGAATGTTTACAAAACAAGAGACCAACAAAAACATTTCATCTTTTAAAAAAAAAAACTCTAAAAAGGAACCAGCTTAGCAAATAAGTATTCCTGCAGAGCACTTGCAACTCAAACATTATCAAAGCACAACCAGGATGCATGGTGCCTGGCAGACAAAAAGTCAAAGGGAAGTGCTAGCAAAAAGCAGTGAAACTGGCTAGCCAGGTTTCATTGTCTAGCCTGGGTGAAGTGCAAAAAGCAAACAAATGTAAATAGCGAATTTAAGATCTTTTTAAGAAATTGCCCTTTTAATTTAGCAGGTTACTTGCAACCTACCCGCTCAAACTTTGCAGTTAACTCCCCCCAAGAAGCAAGCCTCCTGCTTTGAAAAAGTTTTACTCTGGTCAAGAGCACCATGACTGTAACTGGAGAGAGATTAGGACATTTCCCTCCCCCGTTTTCCTGTGCATCCGGCTGCACTGTGTGTCCACCCAGTTTCCCTTGTGTTTGCTTAGCGTCTTTCACACACAGCAACAGCAACGCGTGCTGGTAAAACCACACCAATTGGCAAGGCGAGTCAGAGGCAGGTGTAGCATCAAACAGCGTTCACCATGATAGTTTATCACTGAGGCACAAAAACAACAAGGAGTCCGGTGGCACTGAAGAAGTGGGGTTTTTTTTTACCCACGAAAGCTTATGCCCAAATAAATCTGTTCGTCTTTAAGGTGCCACCAGATTCCCGGTTGTTTTGGTGGATACAGACTAACACGGCTACCCCCTGATATTTAACTGAGGCACATTACCCCCCGGATTCCTTTTAAACCGATATGATTTTACCCCCCTTCCTGCTCCACCTGCAAAGGACCTCACACGTGCAAGGCTTTGCCAAGGCCTGAGTTCCCAGGCCCTTGACCTGACCCTGCCTAAACTTCCCCGCGCTATTGTGTTACCAGGAGCTCGTCTCTCCTGCACACACACACACAAGGTAACAGTTGCTAGGGCCTGCGGCACAGGGGCCAGGAGTCCAGCAGCAGCCGAGGCAAAATAATCATGCCAAACAAACAAGCGCCCAGGAAGTGAGCGAACGGCTCCCACGCCCCCCCCCCCCCCCCGGCCCCCCCCCCCCGCGGGGGGGGGGGGCGGGGGGGCCGGCCCCGCGGGTAGAAAAGCACCCACACCAAACTATTGCCAAGCGGGGGGGGGGGGGGGGCTGCTTCCTCCTCCAGGGCAGGGGGGCGGATTCTCCCCGCGGCCGGGGAGGCGAGCTCAGGGCAGGGGGATGCGCACCCAGGCAGCGAGGGAGCCGGCACCTGCTGCTGCTCCGAGCCCAGCCCGGGCGAGCTTGGGGAGGGGGAGACAAGGGGTGCGGCCGCGCCCCGGAGAGGAGGGCAGTTAACAGGTGCGCCCTGGGCAGGTGTGACAGGTGCCCCCCCCCCCCGGGACAAACGGGCGGGGAGGGGGTGTTTGCAGGCGCCCCTCCCCAGGCAGCGGGAGCGGGTGGCAGGCGCCCCCCGACCCACACCCACCTTGGCGAAGTAGAGCATCCACAGCTCGTAGAGCCGCTCCTTGGAAGCCATGCTGCCGCCGCCGCCCCCGCCGGCTCCCTCCTTATCTCCACCGGCCGCTGCCGCTGGCTGTGCCCGGCGCCCAGCCCGTGCGCCCGGCGGGCATGGCCCCGGGCAGCGCAACTTTCCGCGCCCCGCTCCTCCGCCGGCTGGCTCGCTACGCCTCCGCCATGGCTGCTGGGGGGCAGCGCGGCGCGGCTCGCCTGGCGGCCGGGCTCGGCCCCTCCTCCGCTGGAGCCTGATTAGCGAACAGCCCCGGGCCGGAGCACGGGAAGCCGCCCCCAGGTGCGCCCTGGCCCCGCACCCAGCCTGCGCGCTGCGCTGCGCTGCGCTGCGCTCCCCCGGCCTGGGGAAGCGGAGCGGGACACGCCCCGCCCGGCCTCTCCTCCCCTCCCCTCCCCGCCTGGGTGTTTGCTCAGCCCATCGGGATGGGTTAGCACAGGCGGGGGGCGCAATTCATCCCCGCGGATTGAGCGGGCAAAGACACGTGCGTGACTTTAGGCGGGCAGGGGCCTCGCTGGAGTCAGTGGCTTGACTTCCAACAGGGGCAGCCGGGGTCCTGGGCCCCACGAACAGCCCCCAAAACCGGGCTGAGAACGGCAGCGGCCGGGGGAATCCAAAGGGTTACGGGCCTTTGGGCCAAGGGTTTCAAAAGTGGCCCCTGATATTCCGTGCCTTGATTTTTGGAGGGACCCGGGGCCTCATTCGCAGAGGCACCGAGCTCCCACGTGGCTCCCATTCAGCTAGGGTGACCAGACAGCAAGTGTGAAAAATCAGGACAGGGGGTGGGGGGTAATAGGAGTCTATATAAGAAAAAGACCCCAAAATCGGGACTGTCCCTATAAAATCGGGACATCTGGTCACCCTACATTCAGCTGGGTTCCTGGCTGCTCAACGCCTTCTGATCATCAGGCCCGGCCTGTTTCAATGGGACACCCCCCCCAAAGAAGCTAAAAAACATTTGCAGATGGCGGCCTTAGTGTGTAAAGCCTCAAGGGGCTGGATTTCTGAAAGAATGTTAGAAGGCACCTCGTGGGATTTTCAAAAGCATCTAGGCCCGCTTGCAAATCCCACTACGAGCCTAAATACCTTTTAAAAATCTGGCTAGAAGTACCTAGGCTACCACAGGATGGGCCTTTTATAAATATCTCTAGCAGGGCACAAACATGTGGGTGCTTAGCTATAAGCATGGGGGTGGTCCCAGTTATGTGTGCCAAGTTAAGGTCATGCTTAAGCGATGGCAGATAGATGAGATTTGTAATTGACAGATAAATTGTCATGACAATCTTTAGGTATCTTTTATACAGCACTTTACAAGTCATGGCTCTGGTCCTGCATTAGGATCTGCTCCCTCCAACACCTGTGCCTCTGTGGTATTCCCATGGGTGAGGTCTAGGGCATGGGGAAATAGCAAATGCAATCAGGTTGGTCATTTTCGCTTTTGTTTACAATCCGTTTTCCTTTCTGGTTCACATACTGCGGTAGATGCTTCCAATGCCCATCCCCACCCTTAAAAAGAAATTAACAGCACAATCCACAAGAACACAAAAAAAGGAGTAAATAAGAACTAGCACCATGAGGCCGTATGACAAATAATTTCGTGACCTTCTGTAAACCTTGTCCTTTCCTTACCAACCCTCTCCCCCAATCTGATGTTACTCTCCTCACTTTACCATGTCGAATGTATAGATCCCCATTCCACAGCTCCTTGCACGCAGCCGCAAAGTGTAGGGAAGGGGCAGTTACAGGTGTAAAATGCCGTAATTCCCATCTGGTAGCATCTAAGGGCTTGTGTACAGGGGGGATTATTACTAGTTAAATCAGTACAATGATACTGGTATATTAAACCGCTATAGTTATACCGTTATAACTACCCATGTAGACACTCCTGCAATAAGAAGGCTGTTTTCCAGTGTAGCTTAACCATCTGGAAGCATAATGTAATAAAATCTCATTCTGTGGGCAGGGTAGTGATAGAAATGTAAAGGAAGTGTCATTTTATTTGTAAAAATCTACAGAATCATAATTACAATGGTGTCACCCTCTGCAGTGTGGTGGGGGGATTCACTGACCTCCTCCCCCACCCCGCATGGTCCCAGCTCCAGGTCATCCTGTTGGTGAAAATATTGATAACCCACTGTCATTGGAAATGGATTGAGTTGGGTGTCATTAGAAAGCCTTTTCAGAAAGTGTTCAGCCAAATCGCGGCAGGTGTTCACAGTTTCTGGTTTGTCGAGAGCTTGTACATCAGCCATACCACCTATGATTGCTATGCTGAAAGGCGTCTGCTGGTGTAAGGTACCAGTCACATTGTCAGTAGGTGCTGGTTTAGGAAGAGCATGCAAGATGTGCGTTAGTTTACTTTTCGCCTGCACGTATACCTTGTTCTGTCGCATTCAAACGTCCATCATGGTACCATGGAGAACCTGCACTTTCCCAAAGTCTCACATAAATCAACACTAAGCTGAGATCTGGACACTACCAGGAGATAAGCATCAGCTATGAAACTCCCACATCCTGCAGGACAATACGCTTTTACATAAAAATGTAGCAGCTGCAGACTGAGTCTCCATGTTACTGTTGACATCAGCGCTTTCTTCCTCTTTTGATAGTGCCACGTCTTTTGCAGCTTTTAAAGATATGGGCTGTGATTCATTTCTGCGGATAGCATTGCTAAAAACTATACCCATATCCAGCAGTACATCTTCAACACACGCTTTAAGAGCCTTTGTTCCTCTTTAATCCCATTCAATGCACATATTTCTCTGCTCTTTGCCTCTTCATCAGTCTTCACCACCACTTCCCATCCATTAGCGCCTCTGCAGGCAACTCACGAACTCCGGCTGAGTTCCCTTCACTCCCTTCACCCACCTACGGAATTACATCTGCTCCAGAACCAAAATCCCTTCCAAGGTGACGTCAGCAAAACTGAAAAAAAGGCACTCTTTGACTGGAATAAGAGTGTCCACATGACAGGTTGTAGTGGTATAAATTCACACCTTAGCTTGCACTGGTATCACCTTCCCATGTAGACAAGGTACATGGCAACAAGAGTCTCCCATCTGTATCTTGTAACCAGGGCCGGTGCAAGGAAGTTTCGCGCCCTAGGCGAAACTTCCACCTTGCGCCCCCCCCACCCCCCCACCCCCCGCCGCACCCCCCCCCCCCCCCCCCTCACCACCCCCCCCGTGGCAGCTCCCCCCCCCCCGTCTGCCCTGAGGCACCCCCCGCGGCAGCTCTCCCCCCTCCGGGGAGCCGTGCGGCAGCTCCCCACCCCAGCTCACCTCTGCTCCGCCTCCTCCCCGAGCACGCCACCCCCGCTCTAATTCTCCTCCCCTCCCAGACTTGCGGTGCCAAACAGCTGATTGGCGCTGCAAGCCTGGGAGGTGGGAGAAGTGGAGCGGCGACCGCGTGCTTGGGGAGGAGGCGGCGTAGGAACGCTGTAAAAAAAAAATTGGGGGCACCACTTTTTGGCGCCCCCAAATCTTGGCGCCCTAGGTAACCGCCTAGTTTGCCTAAATGGTAGCACCAGCCCTGCTTGTAACCACTGGAAGCTCTCCCAGATCAGAAGGGCAGTGTTTCACACACCCCCTCTCACTCACTTCTCACAGCTGTATATGACAACACACAGTGGGGGCTGGGGAGGTCAGGCGCATCATTCATAGCCAGGCAGCACCCCTGGAAATCCAAACGAAAGGCCATCTTTATTATCATATTAAAAATCAGTTTAAAGCCCATGATGTGGTTTTTCGCTTTATTTAAACTCCCTGACAGCCCCCATTTAATTAAATATGAGACACTTCCCCAGTGAGTTGCTAAATATATTGGGCCAGATTCTCCGCTGCAGCACCATGGGTTTAATTTTCACTCATTAAGGTACACCGGCTGTCTCCTCCGCAGCTCGGAGTGCGTTTCCCCCCTCCCCTGGGAATTTAACCCTGGTCCTGCAAACACTTACACACGTGGGTAAATTTACACCCATGGATCATCTCAGGCTGTGTCTATGCTACAGACTTCTGCGCCTGTTGGTCGGGGGTGTGAAGGGGGGTGCCAAAGGCTAAATGACTCGGCCAAGGTCGCCTGTGGCTGAACCAAGAATCAAAGGCAGCTTTCCTGAAACCCAGCCCACTGGCTTAGCTGGGGGACAATACTTCTGCCAGTGCCTCACACCCTCTGCACCATTAGGTCACATCAGTGCACACCCCACTGCCAGAGGCTACCCCCATTGACTAAGCTGAGTCAGGTGACTTGAAGCAGATTGCTGATTGGACACCACTGAGCATAAAGCTTCCTGCTGCATGCTGTCCCACCCTCTTTTCTGAGCAGCCAGTTGCTAGGCTTGCTGCGGTTGAGACCCCTGTTCCTGCCTCCCCTTTTGCCGGGCTCTTGCTCCTCTTACTGCCCCTTGTTCCTAGCTCCGGCCACCATGCCTGGTTTCCACGAGTCGATCCTGCTACCGCTTCTGCTTCCTCACCCTAACCCCAGTGGCTGACTCCAGCTTGTCCCTTGGTTTGACTTCTGACTCCAATGCTGACTTAATCCTTGGTGTGGCTTCCAACTCTGGCACTGACCCTTGGCGTGACTTCCAGCTGTGACCCCGATGCCATCCCTGGCTCTAACTGCTAGGTCAGACTGCCTGTTATGGGCCCTGACAGCGACCCATAGGTCACTCAGTGTTCTAGCCCCACAATTGCCTACTGCTCTTTCAGCAGCCTGCAGGGCTCCAGGAAACCTCGTGGCTACCCAAAGTAATTGCAGATTCGTTGGCCTGCCCCCCACTCCACAAATCCTCTGCATCCTGCCCAGAGAGCCTCTGGAAAGCACTGTTCCGTGGCACGCAGGGGGGAGTGTAGTGTACTGAAATCTGTATTAAAATTGTAAGCTACCACTTTAAATGCTCAGGAGTTTTTCCTGCTTGCAGGCTAGGGGGCTCTGTAGGGAAGCATGCAATCGGGCTAGCAGAGTCAGTTCTGCAGATAGGCAGCCTACAGTAAGGT